TAAGCCTCTTCCGTAGCGGTGGGCCTTTGCCATGATTGAGTGGTTTTAATGTTGACATTAGTGACGACGAGGAGGGAAATGTCCACTAGATGTCGCTGTTTTTCCATCTACAACTTAGACACTGTTTTGTTTTTTCCTCAAGATCTCGAGAATAAACATTTCAGGTGCCTATAAATATGTGAATGAATGTGGGTGGTAATCTGAATATTAATTAGGCAGCGCAGAAAGATAACATTTTGAATTAGGATTATATTATTTTGTGGAAGAATCTCAAAAAAATTATCAAATAAGTTTCAAAAGTAAAGTTTGGTAAATTTGACCATTATTAGACTTTTTTCCCACCCAGTACAGTCCTGTTTGAAGCTGATATTTTGTTTGGACGGGATCTCTTGACCTGGATCAGAGGGACCACCGCGTCACCGAGGTGGGCGTGGCCAACCCTGAGGAATAACGCCTGTGTTCTCCGCTACGTTGCAGTCTGAGCTGCAGCTTGACTCACAGCAAGTGTAGCAGAGCTGGAGCGCTGAGCAGCTGTGTGTGGATCCGGCTGATGGGGACCAAGCAGATATTTTATGGACTCTATTAACTCTTTTTTTCCGCTTCTTGTTCTGCATCTTTAAGGCTCCTCCGCAGCGATTCTTCAAACTGCGGCTCTCCAACTATGGATTGCCTAATTGAAGTTGGGCCACCTGATCCGGTTTGCGCCAGGGCATTCCCGTGATATTATCCGAAGCAGAGAAGTCGTTAGAAGCTGTTGTGAAAGCGGAGGATTTCCTGCGCAAAGAGGCTCAATTTCATCCTTTTAGTTTGTGCGTAACGGACAATGATGCAAAGGATCTATTAGAAACAGTCGGAACCATGTTCTAGCAGACACACAAACTATTTAGTTAGCGCAGCGAGTTTGTTATAACGTTTATTTATTTTTATTTTTTTTTTTGTATTTCTAAGACGCACAGAGCGGTTGCGCATCATCCAGTAGTTTTTATCCACCGCGGCCACAGCGCTTGTTCTCAGCTCAGTTTGAAGCTTTTCCATTTTTCTTTTTAAATATCCCTACAAAGCTGCATCTATGGCTTTGCCGGACAGTGGTTTATGTGGGGAGGAGGTCCCTTTCCCAGAGATCATAGAGCTGAATGTTGGCGGCCAGGTGTACATAACGCGCTACTCTACCCTCACCAGTGTGCCAGACTCTCTGCTGTGGGAGATGTTCAGTCAGAAGTCATCCAAGGGGCTGGCGAGGGACACCAAGGGGCGTTTCTTTGTGGACCGCGATGGCTTTCTGTTCCGCTACATTCTGGACTACATGCGGGACCAGCAGCTGGTTCTACCGGACCACTTCCCGGAGCGCGGGCGCCTGCAGCGGGAGGCTGAGTTTTTCAACCTGCCGGAGCTCGTTAAGCAGCTGGCGCCCAAAATAAGCAAGCAGAACTCACTGGGAGACGAGGGCTGCCCCAGCGACCCGGAGGACTCCTCACCTGGGATCGACTCAGCGCGCAGCCTGGGGTCCCTGGGGGCCGCGGCCGCCGCGTGCGCCAGCCTGGTCCCCAGCGCCATGGACGGGAAGCGCGCTGGGTTCATCACCATTGGCTACCGGGGCTCCTACACTCTTGGCCGCGACAGCCACACCGATGCCAAGTTCCGGCGGGTGGCTCGGATCATGGTGTGCGGGAAGACCTCTCTGGCCAAAGAGGTGTTCGGGGAGACCCTAAACGAGAGCCGTGACCCAGACCGCCCCCCTGAGCGCTACACCTCCCGCTACTACCTGAAGTTCACCTTTCTGGAGCAGGCCTTTGACAAGCTGGCAGACGCAGGCTTCCACATGGTGGCCTGTAACTCCACAGGAACCTGCGCCTTTGCCCACGAGCAGACAGACGACAAGATCTGGACCAGCTACACTGAATATGTGTTCTACCGTGAGTGACATCAGCGGCTTTATTCCCCTGGCCCCCCTCCACCCTGTCTCCAACAGACCCCCCCTCTCCTCCAGCCATCCCCTCTCTGATGGCTTTGGTCCAGTAGATGTACAGTGCTAGATGTTGTGTGCCCCCCCCCCACCCTACCACTTCATTTTACTTTGCAGCTTCCAGCTCTTATCCTTTGAACAGTTCCCAGCTGCCGCTCTGAATCTTCACCCCACTTATTCCTGCGACTCCAATCCTTCAACCCCAAATCCATCCTCAGGTCCAGCTTTATGCCCTCTTCCATCGCCTGCTCATCTAGTTATAGTCCCCAAAAACTCAGCCGCAGCAATCCCTCACCCCTGTCTGCTCAGACTGATACCTTCTATGTATTCTCTTTTGTATCCCACGTTTGAATATATGTTCCATTTGTCCTGGTGAAGCACAACGACGTATCCAACAGCCAATTTCTTTCTTAAAAAACGTGCCCTGAGTGTGCCTATGTGACTATTAAACTCAGTCATAGGGGGGTTCAAATAAAAGGGCTGAATGAGTTGTAGTCATGCACAAAGCTTACTCGAGCAGATCGGACTCTCTGCAGCTTCTCAGAACTAAATTACCAAATAATTGGACATCCTATCAGCCTAGAGGGACATGAGCATCCCCAGCTCAAGATAGGAGTGTAATCTAATTTCCTTAATTTTAAAAAAATAATTATTTTATCAAATGTGTCTTGTATTGTTAGGTTGGGGAATGTGCTGTTGTCAATCTGCATTTTTTTTTTTTTTTTTTTTTTTTTATGGAAGAGGTTTTCTATAACATTGCAGACTAAAGTAGAAAGCTGATTGTGTGGAGTTTATATGTCAGAAGGAGGCAAATATAGAAGCAAAGAAAAAGTTTAAATAGAAAAAAAAACATAGAATAAGAAGCATTTATTGACTGTTTGATTAATTGAAGATATTTAGAGAGATTAGAGGAAACAAATGTATTAATTTTGTTCTCTAAAATGTATTTAATTCAACATTAAAGAGATTTTTTTTCTATATATATAATATAATAGTAAACCGCCGCTTCCTGCTTTACTCCCCCTCTGAGCTGGCTGTGTTTTGAGAAAAAAACATTGATATTCTCAATAATCGGTTCAGTATTATTTGGTGGTTCTGCATATTTGATGATGGGGCTCGCTTACTGTAAGCGAAAGCCCAGTAGAGAGGGTAGGATTACCCTGTAGGCAGACAAAGCCAATTGTCGTCTCACCACAGTAGCAAAGGTTGCTGTAAATACAGCTTTGATGAGCGGAGTACGACTTAAAGGGTAGTTCTGTTTCTTAAGAGAGGTTCTGTTAAAAGTAAAAATCTCTCTTTTTGTTTGAATTTAACTTGAATCCAGATTAATTTCTCCTGGAGGCTGAAGCCAACAGTAAGACCAGAGCAGACTTCTACATAATGCACAAAAATTAGTTTTCTGAGCCTTTAAACTCTGGACAGAGACATGGGAAACAGAAGGAGGCGCATCACCGCTAAATTTGCAGGAAAATATAAAGAACGGATTATGTACGGTTTTAGATCAGAATAACTGCCTGAAATGAAAGAGAATAGGCATAGGAATAAAAAAAAAAAAAAGATTTCTGTGTACCTTTCCTTCATTGTCTTGAAGCACTTGATTCAGTATGTGGAAGAAAAATATATGCTACCATATGCTACCTCTATTTCTGTGTAATTATCATCCGCTTCTTTGTAAACTTACCCAGATCGAAGGGGACAATAATTAAAAGGTTTATGAAATAGTTTACGCATAAACTGTCAACATATTTTAGAAAGTATAGTTTAGGGAACCTGGAAGAATCCACTTCGGTTTTGGCCCCTCTTAGATCAGCCATTACCTTTAGCCTTTGGGTCCAGCTCTTTTTGAGTTATGCTAACTGAATATACAAAGAAAGTTAACTATTTAGTCTAAGTTAAGCTTTATTACCCATTGATAAACTTTTAACGGGACCACACTTTAGGAATCTTTAACTATATCTTTAAATTGTAACACTAGGGCATCAGATTTAGCATCAGGACTAAAACACTTAAAGCAACTGATTATATAAAAGATGTCCAAGGGTTCTGCTCAGTGGATGTTCCAGGACACTAGTGACCTAGAATTAATAACAGCATTGTGTTTCAGTGTGATGAGGTGTTTTGGACCCTGTAGTCAGTGTGTTAAACCTGTTGCCGTGTGTAGCTTACATTGGGAATCACTAGAAAAAAAAGTGAGTCATTGAATATAACTCGTTTATTTTTGCTTCAAAACAAACTACAAAAATTAATTGAGTGCTGTCTGAGAGTGTAAAGGCCACCTGCACCTCTGTTAATTTATTCAGTCATTAAAATGTTGCTCAGTCATAAAATAAACCGAATGTTCCACTTAGCGTTCCTCGATAAAATAAATCTTTTTTGAAGGGAGCCCTACATCTCATTAAATGTTTAACTATCTCCCCTCAGGATTCGGTTTCCATAGATCCATCTGTTTTCTTTTGTTTTATTTTAATTTTTTTGTTTGCGCATGTTTTTTTTCCGCTCCATTTTGTTTTTCTCAGCTTTGTATCATCAATGACTTGCATAGGAGATGAGCAGATTACAAAACCCTTGTTTCGTGGCCAATAATTGACCCACTTACGGCGAAGACGACTGGATTCAGAGTTCAGGCACTGGGGAACCTGTGTGTATTTAAGGCTTCCTGCCATGCAACGGTTTACCCCTATCTGCAGAATCTAAACAGATTTTATCTCCAGTATTTTTGCCAGAGAGCATTCACAGATAGCAAAGATTAGGCTTCAGCAACAAATGTCATTTCATGAACTCTTATTTTCCTTTTCATCTAGACATGATCGATGCAAATTATTTCAGCATAATACCTGTAAATTAATCTCAGTGTGGCCTAGATAAACACATTGCCGACGAGGCCCAATAAAGTTGTGAGTTAGAAGAAAAAGTGGTCCCCTCCTGGGCTAACAGATGATTTTTGAATGAGGCCAAATTTTGTCCTCAGAGAAGAGGACAGCACAGCAAACAAACACAGCCGCAGGCAACATTCCTCTGGCACCGATCCTCGGCATGCTATGGCAACAATGGAGTACCAGGGTCAGTTATTAGCACACGCATGGAAAGACGGGCCCCTGGCGTTAAATTCTAGGCGCCGCCGTCCGTCTTTACCTCCAAGAACAGCCTCGAGGTTCAACATTCAACAGGACTGTGGGGAGTGTCTGCGCTTAGAAGTTAAACAGTGATGTACACAGGGCCACACTGTGATGATGAACTGCTTTTCTTTTCCCAACACTGTTGTGAAACGTTCCTGAAAACTGAAAGATACCTGCTTGTCTGCAGTACAGGAAGCAGGTTCGCTTTGTGTTTATCCAGTGTCACAATAAAGACATTTTACAATGACAGCCGGCTTCTCTGTCTCTCTAAAATAACAAATGACAGAATAAAATGTACTATTGACGGTGTTTATGAAAAAAAGAAAGACATTGTGCAGCACTTTTAAAAAGCCTTCATATCACTTTAGCCTTTTCATATTTTGTTACTTTATAAACAGGATTTTTTTTTTTATTAAACAAGTGTAAAGATCATTGATTTTATTTAGTTTTGCAGATTAATGTGCCATTCTGCTCTGGCTTTATGTTTGGGGTTGTTTCCGGCTGGACAGTGACCCCCCCAGGGCTTGGTGACAAACTGCAAACAGACCTCTTGTGGCTGTCTTTCAAATGTAAACCGATTCAGCTGTGGATCTCTGTTTATTCCTGTAGATCTTCCATCATTCTTGGGTAAAAAGTCACATCTTGGTAGGTTTACAATTGTCCCATCTTCTTCCTATATTCCTTAGACTCATAGAGATGCTCAAAGTTTAAAATGTGACTTAATGTCTGCTTTATTCCTTGCTCTTTGTGATGCTTTTGAAAAATGTCCTCTAATAAAACGTCCGAGGCCTTAAACGAGCAACTGGACTTATCCTGATATTAAATTGCACTCATTTGGAGTCAATTCAACACATTTAAGACTGAATTCACTTTTCTGTGTTGCCTTTTATTGAAGGGTATCAGGAAAAAGAGGTGAATACAAATGTGCACCACTGTTTATATTTTTATTGGTAAAATATTGTCTTTTTTTCCTTTACCTATGTTCTACATTAAGTGTATTTCATAAAATATTATAATAAAGAGGGAAAACATTCAGTGGGTGTTAAGACATTTTGAAAGCAATGTAAGACAATTTTGTTTTAGTCTGTTTTTGTGATCAAACCTATCGCCGCTGCAGGCAGCTTCACTCCTTTCATCTCTTAGACGGATTCTCTGTTAGCCAGCTGGGTCATTTCTCCTGTGTTTGGGATGTGAAAGGATGGTAGAGGAGGAGAACAGCGAGGCATGCACATGCCTCAAAGGAAAGAGGATGGGGGGAAAAAATGGGACAAGGCGAATTGGAATACTTGGGTTGAAGTGAAAGAAATGTGGAAGGCTATTTAACTGTCAAAGATTTGCTGCTCCCAGCTGATCTCTCTTTTTCAACAGCTCCAGCATTAGCTGTTCTTTTGTTTAGAGACTGTCAGGATTGTACTGATAAAGTCCTCACAGGACGGTGCTACAATGGGCTTCTTTGCTGTTTACCACTTCAGTCCCGGTTCAGAGATTCTTTTACCAACAACACATGACACACTATCAGCTAGAGCCGGGGTCAGGGGTCGCAAGATGGATTTCACAACCATTGTGATGTTATTCCTGAGGTATACGAGGGGCGTTTAATAAGTAATACCCCTGACCACTTCCAGATGTTTGATCGACCTTAAATTTTGAATGTGAAATAACTTAAATCTCTATAGATTAAATAGCAAATTACAGCTCTGAACTAATTGTGGTGTCTGACTTACAGGTGTTCAAACTGAGTCAAGTCTGTGTTTTTGCATTTGAAAGGACGCACCCAACAGGAGACTTTTGATCAAATGAAAGTAACTTATTGTGGTAATGTCCCATAATATAACCTTGTAAAACATTTTGCAAGGTCATATAATGGGCATCATCACCATAAGTTACTTTAATTTAATGAAAAGTCTTCCGTGGTGTGAGTCCTTTCAAATAGAAAAACCGGATCACTGCTCGACTCTCAACAGGCTCCATTTCAGACTTTACTCAGTTCAAACACCTGTCAGTCAGAAACCACAAATAGTTCAGAGCTGTAATTTGATATTTAATCTATAGAGATTTAAATAATGTCACATGCAAAATTTCAGCTGCATCAAACATCTGGAAGTGTGTCAGGGGCTTTACTTATTGAACAACCCTTGTATGGAGGGCCAAAATATATCATACAATACATCTGGAAAATGTGACATATGTGTGACATTATTCATTTTTTTATCTAATATTAAATTAAAATATTAAATGTCTAATTATATAACTACAAATATATTTAAAATTAAAAATATTAAATTTAATTTAAAATAATAAATGTGGGTAAAATTAATATTGACCTTTTGTTAGAAATCATTTTAAAGTAATTGGATGTATTTTCAGGGGGTCACCAGCCTGTTGCAATAATATTTTTTGGGTTACAGGGTGAAATGTTTGCATGAGAACTTTGTGGAACTTACCAATGTATTTCATTTGAAGTATTTTAAAATTCCATTTATCTTTTTTTTTAAAGTGAATCCCTTTATTATTTATTTTTTTTTTTTTATGAAGTACCCGAAACAGTTTTAGAGAGGATTTTTTTATTATTTTTTTTAAACCTGCATGTTTCAATGATGAAACG